TAAAAGGTACGGAGCAGGAAAGGGTCCAGTTTGATCTGCCTCTGAGCAGGAGACGCAGCAGGCATGCCGGTGTTGTATTACACCTAACAGTGTTTTTCTATGCTGCTGGTTCCAAAAATCCAGATCACTATGTGAAAGCACACATGGTAGCGAGATTATGCCGCAAACGTATGAATGAGCGAATGCAGCATAATGATGGATATTTTTTCTGCATTTACTGCTGGATCTCTGTATGAAAGCGGTTATTGTGTTTGTGAGAGAGAGGGAGCGAGTGAGAGGAGGGGCTGAGCAAGCTCTACAGTGAAATACGAGTTTACCCATTTTAAATACTAAGAAATCGAAAATCAATATGTGGCGGTCCGCGGTGATATTGTGGCGAGGCGCCACAAATGCAGACATGCCGCACAGGTCAGATGGAGAGCGCAACTACATCCGTAGAGAAATAAAACTCATTTAAAGTTACCATTTGAAATGAGCAGGCCATTTTCTGGACAGCCCAGATGTGTAGTTTCTAAGGAAATCAACAAGAGCCAATAAATATGGATTGTCTTCAGAGGCCAACCTGAACAAACCAACAAAGCAATGTAAAAGTGCATTTGAGAGTGAAGATCATCTACACTCAGGCCAAAGAACAGGACTGAAACCCAGTAGAAACTTAATGGACGCATTGTCCTGAGAAAAGTTAACGACGGAAACCCATTGGTTCGTACTACAGTTTCTGTGTAGTGCTGTGTTTCTAGGAGTGGTGATGAGGGAGGTGGAGAAAGAACGTCTGTTATTTTAGGAGAGGGTTGCTACTGAGGTCCAGCTTTCTCTCTGGGTGTCCATTCCTGAATGTGTGTGTTTATCTGTGTCTTTGGTTACACCTTGGCAATCATGAACCATGCTATGGAAACACACACCAGACAATGCCAAGCGACACACACATACACACCCATAAACTATCCACACAAGCTGGAATGTACGCATACTGTACATGTGCATACTTTGTAAACACTTACTGCAATTGCTGTAAAACAGAACCTCCACAATCTGAATATATATATATAAAAAGATCAAAAAGGAGCACAGCAGCACTACAGCTGTAACCAAACCACTCACTACCAGCATCGCACACTGTTTTTCTGAAACACATGCTGCTCTTTCTCCCCCCTTCTCTCCTTCTCATTTACACACAGAGCGAGAGACAGTGATCCCCTCCCTGTTCCACAGCTCTGAATCCCCTTGCTTCGAGCCAAGACTGAAAACAGGAAACTCTGATGTGGTCGGCAGGGCTGGCCTTAGGATCTCCTGCACATATGGAAGGAGGCATGGCATTCAGGAATTGACGTCTCTCCCATGAATCCGAACAGGACTCAATGTTTTGCACATTTTATCTTCTTCTCCTATTATGGTGTAACACTTAATATCCCACACACTTTGCTGGGTCCTCTCTCTACCATTTTTATACTTTTTGGGAAGCCCCTCTGACTTTTCGGGATTGTAAAGTATGTCTCCAGTAAGGTTATTATAGTTTTGGATATTTCATAAATTTTTCTTTTTGACTTTTATTTTTAAATTTTTTTATACAGTCTATGGTTTTTTCTATTATTTCCTTTGTCATGTTATCAATAATAACCTTGGTCTTCAGCACTACCCTGTACATATGTGGCTTTGGTGTAATGCTCCGTTTCCATTGGTTCACATTTACCACAGCGGCACCATCAGTTGTTCCTGGCACGGAGCCATTATCCTCACCGGCTGGCGGCTGTGGCGTCCTCTTCCGCCTCCATAAAAGCAGCAAAAGAACATTACAGAAATCCAGTAGAAACCACATCTGTTTTGTCCTTCAGGGTGTTGTGCATTCAGTCGCAAGCAAGGTTATAGTCCAATAGCATTGATGTCGAGTACTGTATTGTAGTGTGAGTGAGATATAGTGTACAACGTGTAGTAGACAGAGTGTGAAAGGCTAATAGTTTTCATTCCACCGTGAAAAGATGATTGCAGGGCCGGTGCTTCATCTTGACCTTGATGTCTTTTGACTGCCAGCGCTTATCGCTGCTGAGCAGATAGCTGTGTGCGTGATGAAAGGACTGATGATGCAGGTTGACTAGGCCAGCTGTCTCATCTGAAGGCCCTGGCTAGGTCCCACTCACAAAATGAAACACCTATGTCAGCTCATTGGCTGCAGGCTGCGGTCAGCAGTAAAGGCTTTTCTCATTGAATGTGCCGATTTAAGTACATTAACACAATCCAAATCTGCCCAGTGTGACTGGAACTGGGGGAGAGAGTGCAGAGAGACGGAAAGTGTGAGGGGGTGGAAAAGGGAGGCAAATTAAGGAAAAGGTAATGACAGGAGAAAACAAGAAAAAGTAGAAACAGTAAGAATGCAAAAACCAACTTGGAGAGATGATTAATAATGGACAGAAAGGGAAAGTGTGTGAAGAATTGTTTAAGTGACATTTCTAAAGGGGTAGTAAGAAAAAATGTTAAAAACAAAATAACTTTACATTTACTCTTAAATAAGATATTATGGTTTGTCTTTCGTATTTGCTCACTAATGTAGCTGTGAGCTAAATAACAGTTCTAGGAATTATAAAGAAACACTGATAAAAAGAAGATCACTTGGGATCGGTTTTCATTGTGCATTTTGACAGATTTGGGCAATTCTGATGCTGAGATCAGGGCTCTGGAGCTATACATTTTATATGGACTTCTCATTCTTCTCATTTTTGAAGTCGTGGTCACAAATGCAGTGGATCAATAAAGATAACTTGACTGACTGATATGTCAAGATGACTGTGACATGCGAGTAATTATGATGCACATTGAACATATGCACACATTTTTTTGTCCCAAACGTAACAAGAATCAAACAACTGATGCACATTATTGCGAAAAGCAAGAAAATGCAGCCAGGCTGTAAAGGTTGAAACAACCTACTCAATAATACTGTTTGTCTTTTAATCTGAGCTCATTGAAAGACAGAAAAGGTACATATGAAGCGGGAAATAGTTCAAACTGGACATGTGCCATTCACCCACTTGCACTAGAGTAAAACAGTGCAGTAAAACATGCACACAACACGTAACACACACTCTCTTCTTCTCTTACTGATCCACGCCCCACAACACAAGACACAGCACCCACATTTGACAAGGTGTCCTTAGCTGTTGTAAACAACTGTACAAAACAGATTAGGGAAAACCACAAGGTTTTATGGAACAAAACATTTGTGTTGTGGAAAAACTGTCAAATTCTTGATCTCATTTGAGGTCATGAAATCACAGCCACCCAGTAAAAAGCCAACAATTACTTTTTTTAAAGAAATTTTTTCCACTGACCAAAAGAGAACATATCAACAGTAGAGATTGCCCCTAGGGGTGTGCAATACTGACAAAAAATGATATCTAGATGTTTTCTGGGATTTTGTCCATCCGGTTATCATGGTAATTAAAATGTGTATGGTAATAATAACCGTCAGGAATTTTACCATGGTTTACCATTAAAACGGTAATTGTTTCATCCCTTCAAGTGAGGTTTATCCACAGCTAGCAATTCATTCTAACTACGTAGATTGCAAGGCTGGGGATGTCCGTGTTTTATCTCCTGGCGTTGTTAGTTCATTTATTTTTTAGTTTCAATCAGGAATTTGTCGCATATGTACTGGCATGCATTACGCAGTGAATGCACAGAGATGTGTTGAGCATTTTTTTGGAAAGTGAGTGACGTAGCCTACTCGATAATGTCTGCTCACACATTGTTATAACAATAATTTATATATTATCGTAGATGATACATATCGCTATATGATATTAGATTGTGAACGATTAAAATGGTATCGTGCAACAGTGCTGTCAGTTTAATTCTGTCTCTACACAAGCAGTTGACAGCTGCTCTGTCAACACTGCAAGTCAGCTGCCCCACTGCCTGCGTCCTCAGCTGTCTACAACGGCAACAATGTAACTTTTCAGCATCCTAAAATATTGAAGTTCATGTCCTCCAGCTGCTTCGCCTCAACCCTCTATGATTTACGGAGTTTACAAATAAACAGAAAGTGTTACTTGTTGCTAAAGTATATGCTGCTGTTACCTTATTAGCTCAGTTAGCCTAGTGGTAGCTAACTTAGCCCAGACTCGGAGCTCAGAGTACCTGGGGAGTGTATTTTGTTTAATGTTACACCTCTAGTCAAGAACTGGAGGTTTTCAGGCCAGGATAACGTCAACGAGTGGCGCCGGATTGGGCACCAGAACCGAAGCCAAGCGAGCGGGTGACACGGAACGGCACTCAGCAGCCTCCCAGTAAACATAGCATGATCGGGACCGAACACAGAGACGAACAGGGAATATAGTAGAGAATATAGAGTTTCTTGATGAACAAACATTTAAGTTTTGCTAAACCGCTAACTGTATCCGTCTGTGTCTGTGGCTAGTTAGCTCGGTTTGCCGTGCTGCTAGCTGTCCTATTAGCGGAGTCAGACCCTTAGAAACAACCTGAAAATTAACATGAAAATTAATCGTG